CGGTTAGGGCTTGGCTGCGGCATTGTAGCCCTGTGTTGCTATTGCTGGTGTAACTCGTGATGCTGCTGCTGCTGTTGCTTTTGCTGGTATTTGGTGACACTTCGTCAAAGAAAAGTTTTGTTTTGCCCCCTTTTCTAGGGAAATAATTAGTTATGTGTGTTAAGGTAATTTATGTTGTTCTGCGAAGTGGCTTATTAATTCTTACAATAATTATTGTGTTAGGAAACTTTTTGACTTTTTGAGTTTGTTCATTTAATTAGAATGCTTTAAATGAAGAAATTCTGTAGAAGATTGTTGGAAGTGTTAAGGAAAGGAGTTAGATCAAAGGTGATAATTAAACGGATAAAGTTTAAGGGGATTAATCACCGCAAGTGCTCTGGGACGTACGCATCATTAGCGCCTTTTGACAAGGCTTTATGGAACACACCTACACACATATGCACATTAGGGTGACCCTTAATTTTTTAACGAAGAACAAAGAATTCCAAATTCTCGGTATCCTATTCTTCGTTTATAGCAAAAACTGACTCAGGACTTGCCCCCTTGGGACACATACTTTGTAATTCTGATTAATATACAGTTCTCTTTTCAAGAAGTAGCCCAACAAAATCCACCATAAATCGTTGCAAGCCCTCCATAAGGGATAGACATTGTTGAAAGCACCCTCGATATCGAGAAAAAAACTCCGAACGTGTATTCCTTTATGGTTAGTTCAATCGTCGATACGATTTCGCAAGGTGAAGTCTCTACGGATTTTCCCATGGAATATGCATTCTGTCGAATATATTCGTCAATGAGCCTCTCTAGAGTTTTAAAAAATAATAAGGTGAGGCTTATAAGCCTGAAATCCTTCGGATTCACATGAGATGCCTTGTCTCCCTTTGGTAAGAAGACAACCTTCGCCTTTGTCCACTCGAATGGTATGTGAGTTAAAGTCTGCCTGGCTGTACAAACCTAAAAAATCAGAGGACACAGCATGTTCTTAGCTTATTGTAGTTGGGTGGGAAAGATTCCGTCACATCCCGGCTTTTTGTAGGGCAGGAAAGACATTAAAGCTTTTTCAAGGCAAAAACATACTCAAGGGTTTGGACAAGCATATCTCAGTGCCTCAACCGCTCTTTACTACCTAGCCCGTTTTCACTAGACCGAGAAGGAATCGAATCTACTCTCGCCCCTTATCCAGGGTATCATAGGACAGTTTTCAGTTAGGTGTGTCCCACCGTATTTTAACGGAGCTTCCCGGATACCTCTTCATTCCGGTAGTAACGGTAGACTCGCCAGAGCATCGGTTTCTGCTGTTGCCTAGCGCGTCTTCGCTTTACTCTTTTAATTCGCTTGCCGAAAGGTTCGATCTCAATGGGCGCACGGGCGAAGAAAACAAGTACAGACGGAAATGCCGCTAAAACTATTAAATATATATGTAATATATTCATTAGCCGCTGAATCGATCGCGAAAAAGGCCATTATATAACCTGTCGCGCGCAACACAAACAATATCAAACCACTTGAGGGCAGGAAGTAGTTGATGTCCGGCGTGCAAACGGAGTCTGATCGGTCGATACATCTATCGTGTCAGCCGTCGACATCAAGGTCAGCTGCGAACAAACAGTGAGAAGCAAAATCCAATTATTAAAATAGGAAATCGCCCACTCTATACATTTAATTACGTCCAGTGTTGCCAAGCTTTTTTTTCAAAAACTTTAAATTTGTTTAGAAAACACAATATTAAAAAAAAAAAATCTATATTAAAACAAATTCGAGCGAATGTTGTATGGAAGAAAATTAGCAAACCTTACACTAGAAATTTTTTCAAAAATTAATGGTAAGTGCTAGTACTACAAACTTCCACTTTATTATACTAAAATTAAATAAATCACAAAAGTGCTTAAAAAATAACAAATATGCAAAAACGTATTAACTAATTATGAATTATTTATATCGCGATTAACCAATGTCCGGGTTTTATGCCGTTACTGTTGGTTTGATACCCACCTGACCTATTAAAAATATCCAATTCAATGTTTTAAAAAAGTGGCAACGCTCTTATGTACTTACTTATGTATGTATGTTTGCATGTATATCATTTAGTTCATTATTTTAGTATAATTTAGCTTTTGAATTCATTATAATTTAACATTTTAAACCCGTGGCAGCCCTCTTTAAAATTATGTTTGGCATAAAGCTTTCATCAACCGTTTTCGTTTGACATCCTTATTGCTGTATTTCATATCACATATTACTACATATAACCTAATTTCGCTTTTTAAACATGTGGCAACCCACTCAATACTATTTTCGAAATAAATGTATTTGAAATAAATCTTTTGTAAACCTCTTTCGTTAAGCATGCATATTTTTATATTTCGAATTACTTATTAGTTTAATTGAATTTCCTTTTTAAACAGATGGCAACCCTCTTCAGATAAACTTTTTTTCTATAAGGCTTTTATTTATTGGCATTTTTTGTTTTTAATATTTCATTTAACTTACTTATTGAAGTGGACTTCACTTTTTAAATAGCTGGCAACACTGTTTGAAAAATTATCTGCATACACATTAGCCGAGTTTATTAACTAACTGTGTGCTAAATTTAATCTAAATTTGTTGAGCCGCGACTTTTTCACTCACTCAATCACTCAAGTTAGCCCTTGCATGATGCTAAAATGAATTTTAAAACAATTTCATTAAGGAGGGAATATACGGCCCAATTATAATCGCGCAAACCTAGAGTTTTGTTCGATTTTGAGCAAAAATCAGATTTTTTTATTTTTGCTCAGTTAACTGTCCAAAAAGTACTAACTGCTGAATACATATATACCTAGCACAACTGAACTGCACTCAATTAAGTTTGTGCAGTTATTGAGTCGTACTTTCTTTTGCAACAGCAGACAAATTGCCACCTAAGATTTAGTCAGCACCCAACTTTGGCCTACCGGCAACAAGTGGACTCATTTTCCATTATTTCCAGGGTCAATGCAAAATGTAGCTCAGAAGTGGATTTCTCCTTTTAGCAAATTTTAAGGAGCACAATTTTCTCATTGCCGGAACCGGTTCCAACACGCATAAGCAAGTGACCAAAAGCCGCCAAATACATATGTATGTACATATCGTCGGTGATATTGCAAAACGTTCTATGTCACTTATTACCTCTGGTGCTTAATTGGTCTGTTGTCTGTATCTGATCGCTTCTGGCAACCATTCATCTCCTTCAGCCAAAGGTAGCCAGTTTTATCACTCGTTAATTAGGGTGTAAAGATTTACAGATACATTCCGGTACACGTAAGAGACCATCTAAGTGTCAAGGTTACTAACTGACATAGACCGTTTTGCAGTATCAACGACGATATTCACTCCGATCACAGAAGATTCTGCAAAATAATGCAGCCAAGTAGGAGAATTGGTTAACAAAAAACGCGCGCTCAATCACACAACAACAAATATAACATTCGTTACTTCGATGCTCTTTGCCTTACTTTAAAATACTTTGCAGATGAGTAAAGTGATTGAGCTCACCTTTTTAATAATGGCGTGCATTCCCTTCGCTCATATATTTTTTCTCTTTCAGCCACGCGAACACCTTCGCCTTTCCAGTAACTTCCTTCATTCGAAGCGCTTAATTGAATATCTGTTGGAGAAACTATAACAACAATATCGATGGGAGCTTTTCGCCTCAGTTCAACGATCAATTGCGAACAGTTCAATTTCAACTTTGTTGGCGCGCACTTCGAAATCTAAGCGTTAATTACGGAATAACACAATAGTTCTAACTATTTTGGAAGACTTCCTAGAAAAGTGAAACGTGAATGAAATAAATTTGTTTAGTAAATTGATGTCATCCAAGCTGCCAATAGCATTGTAATTATCACTCACTTAACAACAACAACTGCGACGACGACGACGACGACGACAACGACAGTGAAGCGCACTCTCCATCTTCTGTTGACATTACTCTGCGGCGAGGTCAAGCTCTTAATTGAATTACATCCAAACGAACATACATATGTACATACATATCTACACATGTCTGTAGTACAGTACTATAGAAAAAATAACGGCAAACAAGTTCTCTAACCAACCCAACCATCCAACAACGACGCCGCCGCCGCCGCCGCCGCCGTCGCCGTTCTCAGTTGCCACCGCGTCAGCTGGCAATGCACTAACTGCAGTTGGCAGACAATCACCCACGGGGACAATGGCAAAACATCTGGATATAGTACCTGCAACATTACAACGCAGCCTCTTTGTTTTGCTGCTTTGGGCGCTCATCCTGCAGGCGGCAATCGTACAAAGAGATGCACCCATCGCAACGGCAGACAAAGTGTATGCCGATGCTGCTGCCCGCCCTTTCGCAAGTACGAGTAACAAGCCACCGGAGTCGCCAACACCGCCCCGCACATGCAATTCCATTGAGGTGCGCACAAGGAAGGATTTTGCATTGCTACAGAATTGTACGCGCGTGTTGGGGCATGTGTGGCTGGCGCACTTGCAAATGACGCCCAACGATGTTGCCGCGCGGCAATTCGCCTCCACCGTGACGGAGATTAGCGATTATCTGTTGGTACATCGTGTGCATGGCCTACGAAGTTTGGAGCAAATATTTCCACATCTACAAATTATACGCGGTCGTCAATTGTTGTTCGATGAGTTTGCGCTGGTAGTGTATGAGAATCGCGATTTGCAAGATTTGGGCCTGAAGTCATTGCTACGCATACAAAAGGGTAATATACGCATTGAAAGTAATCCATCTTTGTGCTATGTGGATACGGTGAACTGGGTACAGCTGCTGGGCAATAGCACGCAGCAACATTTCTGGCATAAGGTTTATACTTTTGAATTTGAACTGTAGCAACGGGTTATATATTTGTTTTTGTTTTTGTTTTTTTTTTCATCCACTCATTGCAGAATAATAAATTGCACAATCACTGTACGCAATGCGCTCGCAGCACCAGGCAAGTTATCGTCGAGGAAGATCTTCCGGAGAAGTTGCGTAAGCATTGCTGGAAGTTTAATATGCCACAACGACGGCCTGCTACCAGCAACATTGTCAATTGCCGGTCGGAGTGCGGCATGCGTGGCTGCGATGAAAATGGTAGCTGTTGTGATCGTAATTGTCTGAGCGGTTGCGACGGCACGAACTGTGAGTTGTGCGCGAATCTGAACATGGAGCGACAATGTGTGGACGCTTGTCCACAGAACTACTATCAGGTGCGTTCCATAATTTCTTGTTGTTACCACTTTTTTCCAGAGCAGTCCTTTTTTTGTGCCTATGCTAAATATTTAAACAGATTCCATTTTCTCCAAAACTTTTTATTGAAGCTCGGGTTTTCTGTTTGCTACACTGAATTTAGCATTTTTTTGCTCAGTATTATTTTATTAAAACAAAAGTTTTTCCTAAGACAATTGTCAATTCCAGCAACTATCTTAAAAGCTCCCTTTTGTCTTTCAAGGACTACTTGAAAGGTCTGCTAACGAGGAACCCTTAGCGTTATTCGGTTTGCCTTTTCAAATAAGTTTTTTGAAAAATTAAATGAAATAAAAAATATATATATGAATATATTTTTCTAATAAAAAAATATATCTTTTGAACAATAAAACCTAATAATTAGAAGGAAATTAAATAAATAAAAAAATTTATTTAAAAAAAATTTGGTAAAAATTAAATGATATTAAAAAATATCATTAACAAATTTGAAGAAATTTTATTTAAAAAAGAAAAACATAATTAAAATAAAGAAATAGTAAAATAAGTTTCTAAAAGTTGAACGAAATCAAAATAGTTTAATAGTTTAAAGTTAAAAGAAAATTACCATTAAAAAGGAAAACAAGTAACTTTTTTGGAGGAAATTGAAAGTCCTACAAGTTTTTCATTTATATTTTTTCTGTAGCTCTTGTTATTTTCGAGATAGGGACAAAAAACCAGAATTTCATGAAAAAATTAGTTTAGTGACCCGTACTACCTCGCTGGTGGGAGTTAGGATTAAACCGCAATGGACACTTTTGTAGAGCATTCAATTCTGAAGAAAACTCATCATTGATCAAGAATATACCATAAAACTTCTCTGAGCTGTAGACTTTTTAAGAAAAAAACTTAAAGTCTACGTGTATTTTATATGGGAAATCTTTGCACGCCTTGGGCGAGCTCTTAATGTTAATATTAATGGTTCAAATTTTCAGGGAGCTTTTTTTAGGTGTTTCCACAAAATTTTGAGGTAGGAGTGAAAAAAAACAATAGTCGCAAAAAATATATATATATATATATGTATTTTTCTTCTTAAAAACTAAAAATTTTATCAAAAAAGGAAAAAATTAAATTAAGAAAAGATAAACTCAATAAAGTAAGTTTCTAAAAACTAGCTCAAATAAAAAAAAGTTTGTAAAGGAAACTTAAATCAATAAAAAATTATTGAATTAAAAAAAGAAAAAATTATTACAATAGGATTCTAAGAATTAAATTATATTTAAAAAATATTTTGCTTTTTAAAACAAAAAAAAAACTAAAAAAAATAAAAAAAATCTCGATTAAAACAGAAAAATAATAATAATTGTTATTAAAATAAAGAAAACCAAAAAACGTGTGATATAAAGGTGTAAAAAATTTAATTAAATTAAAAATATTTCTCTTTTTAATTCATTGTATGTAGTATAAAACCGAAAAATTAAAAGAAAATTAAATTATAAAATGAAGTTTAATTGAAACTAACAAAAAAAGTTCTAAAACAATTAAATCTTAAAACTAAATTAATGAGGAAAATAAAAATATAAATAAAAATAAAAATTAGAAAATCAAATAAATTTTTCCAAATTAAAAGAAAATTTAATTAAAATCGAAAAAATTTAATTAATGGAAGGAAAATATCATTAAAATAAGTTTCTAAAAATTAAATTAGATAAAAAAAAATTTATTTTTAACCCTTAATCTGGGAGGTGAAAAATTAATGTTGTTCGCGAGTATCATTATGTGATAACGCTTAAGTATTTTGCAAATACAATTACATTTTCTAAACTTTGGATACATTTTCGATAAAAGAATTTCTGTTTTTGCGGTTAAAACTATAAAATCTAAAAGTTAATTGAAAAGTAAATATAAAACAAACAAATTAAATATACATAAGATCCAAAAAAATTTATTAAATTAAGAAAAAAATTGTTTTTGTTATTTTATGGCCTTATAACCATTATATTCAACAATTTTTATTGAGCTTGAAGCCGTTTTTAATGAAACACTTATTGTGGAAAGCAACAACAATTTGCAAAAATGGTAGAAGTGATAGCTATTTCGGAAATCACCACATTTCCTCATTAGACTTCTTTCAGTAGGATTCGAACCGACGATCCCACCTACTCAGCCAGTTGCTTACACACTGTGCTAAGTTCGTCTTGTAAATTATCGTTGCTTTTTTCCTTTTTTGAGGTGATTTCTGAAATAGCTATCACTTCTACCATTTTTTATTATTGTTTTTCCACAATCAGTTTTTCATTAAAAACGGCCTCAAGCTCAATAAAAGTTGTTGAATTAAAAAAAAAAATGTTTCTTTTTAAAATACATTTTCTAAACTTTGGATACATTTTCGATAAAAGTATTTTCGTTTTCGCGGTTGAAACTCTAAAATCTAAAAATAAATAGAAAACTTTAAATAAAAAACAAACAAATTAAATATACATACATAAGTTCAAACAAAAAAAAATTAAAAGAATTAAAAAAAAATACGATAATGATTCCTATTCGAACTAAAAGCTGCTAGCTTTGCAGAAATCCGGAAAGCCTAAACTTGACGCTTATAGGGAGTTCTTGCGTACACAACTCGGCAATATAACTTCGATCCATTCACTTCATTCAGGGTGTATGCGGAAAATCATCCACTTGAAGCCGACGCCAACATATTTTGTCGTCGAAGTTTCCAAAGATCATGGAAAGGCCTATAGCAGAGAGATCTCGCACTTATTTTGAAAACTGAAATTTTTTAAAAAACATACATAGCATTTGCATATGTTCTTCTTTTTTGAAGTATTTCAAGACACTTTCTGGACTAGTTTAGGACCTTTTCGGGTCTAGTTCGAGATAATTTTTGGACCTATACTGGATAATTTCGGGACCAGTTCACGACTATTTGGGGACCCTTTTCAGACTGATTCTAAGCAATTTTGAGACCATTTCATAAACGTTTCAGGACTATTTTAGGATCATTTTGTGTCTAATTAAGGACCATTTCGGGACCGTTTCAAGACCATATCATTTCGGGATAAGTTCACGGCTTTTTCGATCGTTCAAAACTACTACATGGCCATTTTGGGTCCAGTTCACGCCTATTTCAGGACCAGTTTGGTACTATTCACGAAATGATCCGGAAATAGTCCTGAACTATTCCCCAAGTGATTATGAAAAAGTCTTGTATCACTCTTTAGTTTCTAATCTAACCTATTTATGTACGCTAGAATTAAGCACAATTTAAAATTGTCTATCCCCATTCCTTTTCCACCTCGGTTACATAGTATCAAGATCGCGAATGCATCAGCGCCGCCAAGTGCCGCCAAATGGGTTGGATACCACACCCTCCTGACTCCGGCTGTTTGGAAACATGTCCCAAGAACCATTTGAGCCAAGTCGATGCAAAAGGACAAACATACTGTAAATTGTTATGCGCTGGAAAATATAGCATACACACAGCAGATGATTTCGAAAGCTTAAAGGGTTGTATTACCATAAATGGTTCATTAACCATAGAGTTGACCGATGTTAAGAGTAAGTACGCTTAGTTGCTAATAAAACTGAAAAAAAAAATCTAAGATTTTATTTCAGCCAAAATCACCGACTTGGATAATGCGCTGGTTAATATCACCGAAATCACAGGCTATTTGAAAGTCATAAACTCACCACAGTTGCTGTCGCTGCATTTCTTGCGCAATTTAGTCACCATACGCGGTGAAGAGCTTATAGATGATTTGTTAGTATCTATTCGTTATTTCGGTGGATAAATATTGTTTAGTAACTCGCAACTTATTTTTTAACTAAACGTCTTCCAATTCCCTTTTAGGTATGCACTTTATGCTGTCGATAATTACCATTTATCTGAAATTTGGACGCCAAATCAAAATGTTGCCATATTAAAAGGCAGCATTTATTTTCACCTCAATCCGCGACTGTGTTTGAATAAGATTCGTCAACTTGAGAAGTCTTTAAAAAGCGCCAAACCTATTACCACAGTAAATGTTTCACCACACTCAAATGGAGAACGGGTTATTTGTATGCTGTTGCAGTTGTTGTTTGAGCATTTGTGTATTCGTTTTTTTTTTCTTAATTTTTAGGTAGCAGTCCTCTGGGCGTCTTAAATGTAACTGTTGAAGATTTCAATTCTACAGCTGTGCGTCTGAAAATAGATATATTTACCGTTAATAATATACAAATTATACTGGGCTATGTGTATTACTATAAGGAAGCGCCCATTAAGAATGTCACTCTCTACGATGGACGACATGGCTGCGGACATGATAGGTAATTAGATATTAGTATGCTTGAGTTTTTGACGTTTTTTGTATTTTTTAAGTACTTTAAGTATCGCCTAATTACCTAAGATCCATATAAAATACTGTTTATTTTTGAGATTTTTTTTTTTGGTGTCGGATTTTGGCACTTTTTTTTAATATAAAATATAAACATAAATTTTTTGTGACATAAAACACTGCAGACCGTTAGCAACAAGTAGTCTCAAAAGTGAACACGATTTTTTAGCCGTTTGAAACTTGCACTTCATTAGACCAAAATTGCATGCATACGGAAAAATGCTCTAAAGATTCGGATTAAAAAATTGGAATTTTGATGCAAATTTTATGAATTTTCCTAAATTTTGTATAAAGTTTGAAATTGTGATTTAAATATTTTTGGGCAAAGCGTGGATGGTATTTTTATAGAAAAATTACATCAAAAAAAATAAGCTCGAAAAATACTACGAATATAATAAAAATCGACAAGTGGTCATTTGTTTGAGTCACTGTATGTACAAAAATACATACATACATACATATATGGAATTTTGAAACCTAAAATATATAGTTACACTCTTTTACAGTTGGCGTATGGATATAAACCCGACCAAAAATGTGCGCTATATAATTTCAAATCTGAAGCCTTATACACAATACGCCTACTTTGCGAAAACCTTAACAATGACTGACTATCATATACAAGTAGACGCATATTCGAAAATTCAATACTTTCGTACGCTACCGAGTAAACCGGGACCGGTGAGAAGAGTCTATTACACTGCAATCGCCATCGATAAAATAGTAAGTCGAAAATTGCCATCATATTAGTTGCGATCCCGTACGAGTCCGGACTAGTCAGAATCAGTCAGATTTTACTGGAAATCGATCCCGTACTCGGTTCTCTGACTATTGAGAGGACAAAAAAGAGAGTAAATACGGTTCTCTCTCTGTCAGAAGTTACCAGTTTTCGTCCGAGAATTTTTTGCTGGTAAATTCTGGTAAATATGTCAAACGATCAGCTGTAGTGTGTTTGGCAACCAAATTGTCAACAAAAGAAAAGTGCACTCTGCTAATTCATGTTAAAAAGTATTTAATTACTTGTTTAAGTGGATTCTAATGAATTTGAAAGTATTTTTGGTTATTGACATGTGTAAGCTGAGTGTGTTTACATACAAAATAAGCAAAAATTTACAACCAAAATTTGGAGGTTATGTTGAAGTTGACAGAAGTTACCATTTTTTACTAGAAGGCGATTCCGTACTTTTCAATGTTACTCTCTCGCTCTGAGCCAATTTTTATTTTTTGACAGTTTTACTAGTCCGAGTCCGAGGAATACGGGACTGCACCTATTATAATTAGAATCCACTTAAACAAGTAATTAAATACTTTTCAACATGAATTAGCAGAGTGCACTTTTCTTTTGTTTACAATTTGGTTGCCAAACACACTACAGCTGATCGTTTGACACATTTACCAGAATTTACCAGTAAAAAATTCTCGGACTAAAACTGGTAACTTCTGACAGAGAGAGAACCGTATTTACTCTCTTTTTTGTCCTCTCAATAGTCAAAGAACTGAGTACGGGATCGATTTCCAGTAAATTCTGACTGATTCTGACTATTTCTGACTAGTCCGGACTCGTACGGGATCGCAACTAATATATTTATTAAATGTCCATGTATGTACTACTAAGGTTCTCCACTGGTGGCCACCGCACATGCCCAATGGCGAAATTGAGAAGTATTTAATCTATCACGAAAAAGTGATCATTGGTAAACATAGTAAGTTATTATTTCAGCGCATTAAATCGCTGCTGTTTCTTACATTTTTGTTTTCTTCCTTTGCAATTATTACATAGATGTTACTCTAGGAAATCATCCAGAATTTTTGAGATACTCATCATCATGCGAGTGTGTTGTTATAAACCCTGAATACAGTGGTCCACTACCCAAGGATGAAAATTATTATAACAAAGATCAAATAATTTATGAAGAAACTTTGCCGAATTTAATTTTTGTATCGTAAGTAGAAACATAACTTTATTTTATTTAACATAGAGTATAGTGCCGAATTTCCACTGATCGGTAAATGACAAAAATTAAAATGGGAATGTTGGGGTATTTCTCTAATGAAAACAATCTATGGCTAGTAATAGAAAAAAAAACTAGTAGGTACCTTTCTCGTCCAATGTTTTCAAATACAA